CTTATCCACCCTTCGGCTCCTGTGGACAGCGTGCCGTGGATGTTGGTGTACAGGTGTCTGTTTATGCTTCTGCCTCCAGGTCTTGGGAGGGGAAGTAAACGAAGTATTGTTCCCAGGGTTCCGGTTCATGCAACCCTGGGCCTATTCCACATGAAGCGCGCTCAAACATGCCTCCGGGGCCACAGAATGGCTGCGGACAGCTCACCTGGCTTGCCTGAGCCTTGGGAGGGTGTCTTCCAGGAAAAGACCCAATCAAAACAGCAGTGTCCAAGAGGATCTGCTGGGACGGTTCCATCGAAGGCAGAAAGGTCAGCTCCGAAGGCTTTGGACGTTGTTTCCGGGGATTCTGAAGGGGTCATCGTGATAGATTTCCTCAGAGGACAGAGGTCATCACGAGGGCTTCTTAGGAAGGGAGTTTTCTTAAAAAAGAAATAACGTGGATGAGGATAAGGGCAGAAAAATTGTCTGAGAGTTTTCCTACCATATCATGCCCCCCGCCCCCCAGGGTAGTAAGGGCTGTCCTTCCTGGAGTTCATTGAGAAACTGGACCACTCCCCACCCCCATAGCCCTGCTCTTGGCCCCTCATATTTTGTTTTGATCCCCAAACTCAAAAACACTTCCATGTCACCTGGCCTGTATCGGGGCAGATCCCCGTGTTTCCTCGCTGTGGTGTGCGTTGAGGCATGCAGACTTCTCCAGGGCAGGCTCAGCGAGAGGGAAACACAGCTTTCAGGGACGTGCAGACCCAGGTGCAGGCCATGCCAAGAAGCAATAGCTTCACACTTTGGTACTTTTGTTCATAGCACACGTTTCTGTGATTTTGTAGCAATGCTTTTGGACTTACCGTTGCTTAGCTAGAGCAGGATTGCTGGAGCACTTCCTGGTCCCATGTTTAACTCTTTGAAGAACCACTCCTCTGTTTTCCACAGTGTAAATAGAGCTTTATTGGACTACAGTGACACCTATTGATTTATATGTTATGTATGGCTGCCTTAGGAGCCCTGGTGGTGTAGTGGTTACAAGTTGGGCTGCTAACCACAAGGTCAGCAGTTCAAAGCCACTAAACACCCCAGGGGAGAAAGACAGGGTTTTCTACTTCCGTAAAAAGTTACAGTTTTGTATCGCTTCTCAGCCTTTTGGCTAAGATCAAGTGTAGTATTGGTTCTTATCAGCTTAATATCTGATATGTCCTCTATCCGAGGACAATGTATTAATGAGAGTAGTGATACCAGGAGGGGAAGGGGAAGGTGGGGGAGAAAGGGGGATCTGATCACAATGATCTATCTATAACCCCCTCCCTGGGGAACAGACAACAGAAAAGAGGGTGAAGGGAGACATTTGACAGTGTAAGACATGGCAAAATAATAATAATTTATAAATTATCAAGGGTTCATGAGGGAGGGAGGGTGGGAGAGGCACAGGGGCTGGGGATGAGGAGCTGATACCAAGGGCTCAAGTAGAAATCAAATGTTTTGAAAATGATGATGGCAACAAATGTACAAATGTGCTTGACACAATGGATATATGTGTGGATTGTTGTTAGTTAATTGTGCCAACCTGGCCTATAATCACACGTGGGGCTAATTGAAAGGCAGAGGGATAAATGGGTGGTGAGCCTCGCCTTTCTAGTTCTCGGGTCTCTTG